AGCTTGTTACATATATAGTTCACTCTCCCTGAGCTTAAGGCTTTTGTAAACAAATCTGCCCACTAAACACCTGAGCCTACATGTTCTGTGCTTATCTCTCCAGTAAGAACCTTCTCCCTCACAAAGTGGCAATCAATTAGAAACAGTTTCAATATAGCAACAAGCTATCAATGGTGAGAGTCACCGATATTGGGGAAGACAACCCTTGGGAGGGAGAGGTTATTAAATCTTATTGTTCAACCAATAAGTTTAGAAGCTGATGTGAAACTGTGAAGGGGATCATTTCACAAGTAACTCAAATTCTTGATTTCAAAATTCCGAGGAAAAAAAAGGGAATCATAGGGCCTTTAATAGTGATCAACACACCACTACCAGGAAAATGCTGGTGGAGATTCAACTAAAGCTGAAGTACCGTAGAAATTTAATTGTGGCTGAGTATGGCCTATGGCCTAGAGATGGGATCCTGGTGTGGTAAACCTTAGGTGCACCTTTTGGAGAGAAACCAAAAAGGCTAAAGTTAGCTGAAGGGCCAGAGCTTCATTTTAAACTGACTCTTGGTGTTATGGTAAACCCCTGACAGAGTTGTTATCTTATTCATGGTTTCCCAAAATAGAAAGACTTCAATCAGAAACGGTTATGATAAACAATCTCAATGTGGAAACAAAGGTTTCAGCACAACATCAGTGGTTTCAAAATACATTTACTAACCACTTTACAGTTTGAATTAAAGCCCAACTCCCTAAAACCAAATGAAGAGATGCAAGGATGTTGATGTAGGATCCAATGGGCACCTTCACTATTCAATCATACATTAGGCATATGGCTCCAGTGGCTGGAAACTATCCTCATGAGGAGATTTAGGATCCCCCTGTCCCATCAAAATTCACCTTCTGATAATTCCTCACAAAATAACAGCTTCACAGTGGTTTTAGTCTTTCCAACCTCTCTTGTTTGCTGTTTCAGGACAAGACAAAATCATCCCTTTCTATATTGCAAGTTTAGTACCTTATTTTTGGTGCATTTTCCTGAGCTTTGGTGATTGATGGAGCTTTCAATGCTCAGTTTTAGACACTTTCTCTAGCTGGAATTTGAAAGGGTAAAGACAAAGAATTGTTATGGTATTTTTTTCTTTGCAATTTCATGGCTAGTCATTGCTGTGGGTGAAATGCATGAAAATTTGAGAAAGGTCCTCTACATAAGCAGTCCCAAGGAAGATATTGGTAGCATTTTGCTCATGGCTACCCATCTGAAAGGAATTCAGAGAAGCAACACCTACCTCTTTCTTTTGGCTGTGATGCTCCGAATGTCCAGCATAGATAGTCTTACCACAGCTTAGTTTATTGGGCAATTAGCATCTAGTTGTACATGGATTATACTTGCATAAGTTGCTTTTACTCTTACATCTTAATAGATTTTTTCTTTTATATGAAAAAAAGTAACATATGTATTAGCAAAAGATGCAGCTGATGGGGAAAAAACATAGAATATATTATTTTGTGATCTTATTTAACCACTGTAAAGAAGCACTCTAGATGTATAGGACTTAAGTCAAAAGGACTAGATGGATGATAAGTAGCATGACGGTGATAGTGCAGTGGGTATCAAAGATCTGCAAACAATATGGCTGATACCTTAGCTAAACAACGGATTATAAGGGAGAATATGTTTTGGGCTACATTACCATGAATAGGAAGATGTTTAATCCTCTACTTCTAAGATTGTAATTCAGATTGTAAATTTGAATGAAATTCCTGTTATCTATCAAAAAAAAAAAACTAGCTACTAACAGGGCTGTCACTGTACAAAAAGGCTCTTCCAACGCCAGTTCTAGCTAAGTTGTTTATCACTGCATTTAGCTCTCTAGGAATCCAGGATAAGGATGATGAAAGAGAACAGGAGATGTCTCCAATCGCATTCTACCAATTTGCCAATTTCAAGGAGACTAAACCAGTGCTGTTGGCCTACAATATAGCATTTGCTGGGTTGCTACAAACTAACAATGATGAAGGTAATACTCTTCTGGCTATCCCAGCACCCTGTAAGGAGGACTTCACCTCATCTTTAGTGATATCTGCATTTCTGATCAGGCCAAGGCCCAAGTTATAGGAATTTACATGCTTCCTATTTTTCAGGTTTATCTCAAGGCCTTGCCTTGTGAATATAGGGATCAAAATTTCTCAAGATCAATACAGTTGCTAGATAGATAGATAGAGAGAGAGAGGATAAAAAGAGAAGATCGTTGAATATATCAATAAGCAGCAAACTGTGTCAGTTGTGCTGTTGCAATCTGAACCAGGGTTGTGGCTTCATCTTTCTCAACCCAATTTGGACCATAAATTGATAAAGGCACATCAAACTTGACTCAATAGGAGGAGATTGCAAAAAGAATTAACCTAATTAAACAGTTAAACCACCCCCTCGGCATCCTTGCATGAGGAGGTCTTAATACGTTTGCCCTTAAAAGTACTGACATGAACACAGAAGTGGTTTAAACAGTAAAGATCCTATGTTAACTTTTAGAGAGGAAATAACCTTTTTTTTTAGAAAAAAAAAGTAAGGTAATTGTATTAATGAGTATAACTGTAAACATAACAGCTATCGGTCCACAAAAACGCTCCAAATGTGGCTTTGGGAGAAGGTGCAGAAGAGGATCCTTGGCACACATCTTTTATGGTCTTCTATTTGGAAAGAAATCAGAAGCATACATGGCAGAATATAATATGTTATTCTTTTGTTTAACAGGTTTATTACCTCTTGTTAAAGTAATAATACAGGCTTATTAACTGGTTCTTTCTATTTTTGTTACATTGGATTCACCCCCTTCTGTATGATATTAATAAAATTATACAGAAAAAAAAAGAAAATGAAGAGTACAAATCCACATATTGAGGAAAACTTTCAACGGTTCAACCTAAGCAATCTTTTTAGAATTACTACTTAGTGGATTTTTCACACTTGTTCTAGGATTTAGGTTTTATGGAAACTATAGAGAGAGCTGAAAACTCCCAGTTCAGGAGAGCTTGGAACAATTAATAAAAAAGTGACCAACAGATTCATTCTTACAAACTCTTCAGCTTTTTGAGATTTAGATGGCCCTCTGATGAACGGTCAAATATAACATAAGAATCTTGTCAAGGAACAAGAGTCACATAAAAGTCTCAATCTTGGGAGGAACATGCTTTTTCCAAGCCCATTCAACTTCAGTTGCATGTATATTTCGGAATTGTAACTCTTCTTTTATGGAAATATAAACCAAAGACTAAAACATAAAATTAATCCAAGATGATCGCTTTCTTCCCCTTAGCTGCAAAATA